TGCGACCTCATGGGTCCACGCTATGGCTGCGCCTTCCTCATCATGCTCTCGGCCCCTACCGTGTTCTGCATGTCCTTTGTGAAAGATGCTGCGGGGTATATAGCGGTTCGGTTCTTGATAGGGTTCTCCTTGGCCACGTTTGTGTCGTGCCAGTACTGGATGAGCACCATGTTCAACAGCAAGATTATAGGGCTTGCTAATGGGACTGCGGCGGGGTGGGGGAACATGGGTGGTGGAGCCACTCAGCTCATAATGCCTTTGGTGTATGAACTTATCAGAAGGGCTGGGGCTACTCCCTTCACTGCTTGGAGGATTGCCTTCTTTGTTCCCGGTTGGTTGCATGTCATCATGGGGATCCTGGTCCTAACTTTAGGTCAGGACTTGCCCGATGGAAACCTTGCGGCCTTGCAGAAAAAGGGTGATGTAGGTAAAGATAAGTTCTCTAAGGTTAGTGATCTCTTGTTCTTCTGCATATTCTCATTTACATGTCATACTGTTCCATGAAGTAAACAATTTCAATTATTTGTTCAGGTGCTATGGTATGCCATTACAAATTACAGAACATGGATTTTTGCTCTCCTCTATGGTTACTCAATGGGAGTTGAATTGACAACGGACAATATCATTGCAGAGTATTTCTACGACAGGTTAGATAAGCACAAGGCCAGCACATTTATATGCATTGATTTAATTATTATATTCCACAACAAATTTGTGTTTCGACGTTACATGATGAATTAATTAATATGAAACAGATTTAATCTCAAGCTGCACACCGCTGGAGTAATTGCTGCATCGTTTGGAATGGCAAACATAGTTGCCCGACCCTTTGGTGGATATGCTTCTGATGTTGCAGCCCGGGTGTTTGGCATGAGGGGAAGATTGTGGACCCTCTGGATCCTCCAAACCTTAGGAGGGGTTTTCTGTATTTGGCTTGGCCGTGCCAATTCTCTTCCAATTGCTATCTTGTCTATGATTTTGTTCTCTATAGGAGCTCAAGCTGCATGTGGTGCAACTTTTGGCATCATTCCTTTCATCTCAAGAAGGTCTTTGGGGATTATATCTGGTCTTACTGGTGCAGGTGGAAACTTTGGATCTGGCCTGACCCAATTGGTTTTCTTTTCAACCTCCAAATTCTCCACTGCCACAGGTCTCTCCTTGATGGGGGCGATGATAGTGGCTTGCACTCTTCCTGTGAGTCTTGTTCACTTCCCACAGTGGGGTAGCATGTTCCTACCCCCCTCAAAAGATGTCGAATCCACTGAAGAATCCTACTACACCTCTGAATGGAACGAAGAGGAGAGACAGAAAGGGTTGCACCAGCCAAGTCTCAAGTTCGCTGAGAATAGCCGATCTGAGAGAGGAAAGCGTGTGGCATCAGCCGCAACACCTCCAAATACAACTCCCAGTCATGTCTAGCTTAAGTAAGACTGCAAGAAAGACAATTAGAGAAAAGTATTTAAACCCGAAATTCCCATATAAGTGAATCTCTTTTTAATTAACTTGTAGACATATATAGAATCTTCTGGTTCTGGTTCTGGTTTTCGTGCTGTGGAGTTGATTCGGGAAATGGGAGCCAACCGTATTAAAGATTAGAGTTGCTTATTTTGTGGTAAGTGTTATATCATAATTTATATGTCAATACTTGATGCTGCGTATATTGATAGTATCAGTTGTATACTGTAAATCATATTATGGAACTCAATATTATTGTTCAGTTTTCTAGGACAAATGACCTGTGTTTTTGGTGAAGCATAGAATATACCACGAAATATTTAATAATCTGATAAACGACCAAGTAGATACCAAAATAATTTTAAACTCTCTAGTAGATCCTTCTATTATTCTCTTTACTTGTTTTGTAGGGTAAGTATTGAATAATTTTCAAATGACTCATCTTTGGCGTTCGGTCAGGAAAAAGAATGGTGGCCAACTAACAACTGTGTCTTCTGCTATACGGTAGCAACTTCACGTACGATTCATTCAATGTCCAAATAGTTTGGCAGCAAAAACAAATATACGCGTTTCACAGTGTTAAGAACAATACTGCATAAGTAAAAAAATTGTGGGCTATTTTGTTAAGAAATGCATTATCAGTTTTATTTTATTTTTCTTCCAGAGGTGATAATTGAATCTGATTAAATGCCATTATGATAATCTATAAGCTTGGATCCTGAGCACAAGTGAAGGAGTTGTTTCCGATATAACACAGAAAGAAAAAATGTGATGAGTAACGTACGTAACAATGAAAAAGAGGAAGATTGAAAGAGTTAAAACAGGTGAAGTATTTTATGTTTGTGTTCTCTATAAATTAATTACTTTACTCTCTCTACTTCAGTTCAAAGCTTCCAAAAATCAAATTTCTTCAAATGGCAACTAATTGAGTTCGAATGAAAATTGAAGCAACCAAAAGAATTATTTATTGAGAAAATGATAGAAAAAAATTATATAATAAAAATATATTTTCATTTAAAAAATGTAATAATTATAAATATTATTTAATATAATTTAAATTCATCATACTTTAATTCTTATTGATTTAAAATAAACAAATTTATATTTAATATTAAAATTTAAAAAGTTAACAAAGATAAATAAAAAGTAAATTCAAAGACTGATCCAAGCCTAAGTTTCAACTTACCTTAGCCCAATATGGTTGCCGGCCCAAAGAAAGAAAAAGGAATCTACACTCGTAAGCATAGATCACGAGGATTCATTCTAGATTTTTTTGTTTTAATAAAATGTAATTTTATTTAAATATAAAACAATATAAATTGATTTAATTATGATAATAGTAAAAAATATTAATTATGGTTAAATTCAGTTTAATTAATATTACGCCATGAAGATTGCAATGAATTTGCATGGTGTGGTTCATCCAACACAACAGAACAAACCTCTAATTTCAGTAAAAAAAAAAAAAATGACACCCATTTATTCAATACCCTATTATTTATTACGTTAGTTTTTATGAAGTTTGAGTTGGCATACCTATCAGCAACAGCAACAATAGGATTGGTAAGTAACAAATTTTGAATTCATTCCACACTTACCCGTTTTGTTGGTACTAGCGTTGCCAATTTTGCTTCTAATAAAGTATGAGAAAATTGAGGTAGAAAAAATGGTAAGAACCAGAATTTTAAATATAACTATTACTCCTTTGCTCATTTTTACAAGATCCAAATTAAAGGTTTGATAGGAAGTAAGAGTTATATTTGATTATTTTTTTATTAAATGATAAAATGGGTGAAAGACTTTTTATTTTAACGATGAAAATAAATAAAAGAGAAAGTGAAGTTAAAAAATAATAATGAAAAACAAGCATTTAATAACCTTTAAAAATGTTGATTAAATGTATCCAAAGAATACGTCATGTGTCTGATTGCGTGTGAAAATTATTCCAACAATCGCACCACACCATTTAATGGCTATTATATTTTTTACGAGTACTCTAACTGTTTTTGCAGTTGGCAAAAGAAAAACCCATCCTCTGAAAACATACAAGATTGTATTTTTCACGTACGAGAGTGTAAGCAAATAACACTTGAGAAGATATAATCTTAAAATATTAGATTAAAAATATGATTTTTTTATTTTTTTTACGTGATGACTCGAAATTTTAAACTAAAGTGTAATAAAAAGACGACAAAGATTCGTTGAGGTTATTAGATTCGGAGCGGATCGTAACTCTAACGAGTGACGTGTTTCGCGTGAGGAAAGTAAATTTGGGTTCTGCATCATTCTGAACCCTTTGTCGCTTTTACGCAATAACGCACCCGTGTGAGTGCCCATTTCATAATAAATATGAAACATAGACACCTTTTTTTGCATCACGTATTTTTCAAGGGATACTTTTGTTTGAATTAAATTAATCTTTTATTATAAATTATATAACACGTATGAGGTTGATAAATTTGAATGCGACGATGTCATTGAAGCACCCTCACGTGGAAACTGAATCTATTTTATCCATTTAAGCGGTTGATAAATTTATGAGTTTGCGAATTATAAATATAAGAAGAAAGTATGCATATTTTGTGAAGGACCATGTATGAGGTTCTGTAAATGCTTCTGGTAGAATCTTAATTCCATTCCTTTTCAGTTTTGGATAGAGTAGTTAAATGCAGGAGCAGGACGCAACTATGTCTATTATATTTCAAACCAAACATCACCAATTGTTCCCACCGTTCTTAATAAGAAAAAACTTGGATATTTCATATAAGAAAGTTGAATAAACGGAAGTGAGGTTTACATGTAGAAATCATGCAGTTTTTCTATCATTTTCTTTCTTCATTTCATTGAGATAAAACTTTCACAGCATGTTTGTGGATAGGGGGCAAAGGTGCCTAACCATATATACACCAACCAATTAATGGAAGCTAAGACTAACTTTGTTTATTGTCTTCAATTCAACTGCCATGAAGAAAAACGCAAGAAACTTTTAACTTCATCATTATGTAATCTTTAATGTTCGTCAATGCGTTCCCCAATTGCTTGACAAAAACCTACATTATTTTACTACTATCCAACACTTTTCTTGTCATATCACATGTGGGTGATTAAAAGATGTGAATTTATGATTAGCGTCTAAACTCTAAATATTGAAACAAACATGTACTGGTCATGAGATTATCATTTTAGGAAAATTATATATAAGGGAAGAGAAAAAGATGATAATAAATGACATGGGATGTAAGGTTGAGATATAAATGAATAATTCAGTATAATTATAGGTTAATAATAATAATGAAAAAGAAAATGGTTTGGTGCAATAACATGAACTCACGAGCTTCCTCACTTGCTGCACAGACCAAACTTGCACCCACCTCGCCAACTCATCAGAGTCCCAAATAATAGCCTACCAATTAACTATTCACGTGCCTATTTAAGGCCCTTAGATTGCAACCCTTTGCACCGATTCAAGCATAAAACCTCTCTTTTTTTCAGATTCTGAAATCAGAGGGTGAGAGTGTCTTGCTACAACTTCAAAAAAATTTTAAATGTCTACTACACGTTTTTCCCTTCTTGCCATTCTCCTTCTCCTTTCACTAAACTCTCTTGGCACAACCATGGGTGGAAGAATCATTCCCCCTAGTGCCCCAAGCACGATTACGAGGCCACTAGTTTCCTCAGAAGTTGAAAACTACGTGAAGCCGAAGCTGAATCACAAGCAGAAAGCCTTGCAAGGAAGAGAAGTGAAGGGTTGCTTGCCAAAAGGCTCAAGGCATAACTCGGCTCCTAGCAGGTTCGTGAACTTCAAGACTCTAGGCTCTGGTGGCTGTTCCAGAATGCATTCAGGGAACCCTTGAGTTGAAGATGTTTTCTTTAGTATCGGAAGAACATTTTTGTATATGGGTTTTTCGAGGTCAAAGATGAGATGAGATGAGAATCACTTATGGTTTCATTTTGCTTGTTATGATGGATATATTTTAGGGCTAACAATTTTGAACGATGTGCATGGGAAGGTGAAGATCTTATTAGTGACCTTTTCCTGCTGTGTTATGCATGTATAAATGCTTGAGACATTAGCCAAACGTTGGAGAGAGAAATATAATATATATTTATTTATTTATTTTGAAATCCTTTAAGGTAGTGTTAGTTTTGTAGAAGAGTTGTGATATTTTTACAATGAGAAACCATACTACTTCTTCAAATAACTCACTTTTATTAATATAATAATCTATAGACTGATTTAAAAAAAATAAAAATAAAATAAAACTATTATTATAATATTAAAATAGAGTTGTTTACGAGGAGTTGTATAGATTTGGGTTATCAAAATATCATTTTCCTTTGTAGAAATATAAATAAATATTTACGTTAAGTGTAATATGTACTTCAATTTTTTATTTATGAGTGGATACATGGCCTTTGATTTTGCTGCTACTGTTTGAATTTGATTTCCTGCTTTTAATCGTGTCTATTTGAAACAAGATCTGAACCACTAGTAACTAGATGCTCAAGGAGTATTCACTTTGAAGTTGTCCATTTAATTTTTCATATAATTCACATTCATTCCAAAAAAATTTCTATTTCTTTCTTTATTTTTATTAATTATTTGTCATTTTTCACCTTTTATATTTAATTTATTTTTCTCTCTGTCTCTTTTTTCCACTAAAAAAATGGAATACAAATTCACGTTTTGTGTTCTATATATCAACAAGGAAGTCTAAGATGATTTATATTAGTCTTGTGATACATATATATTACATTTAGAGTTTATTTTTCAGAATCTTTAATTTCTACTACATAAAAAAATAGTAAAACAATTTTCTTTCTAAGTTTTAACTTAAAAAAAATAAATATAATTATTATGTGTTCTTTTAAACCTATTAGTAGTGAAAAAGGGGTCAGATCCAGTAGTCCTATTTTCAGAGTCTGGAAACCTAAATTCACTCCCAAACCCTGTTGATTGCTGTAAGGTCTGAGCAAATGCCTGGTATTTGCAGATATCAGCACCAATGACACAATGATATCAGGTCTGTTAGTTGCCCCAATTTTGAACACCGTCTTTGGACAGACATGACAACCATTTCAGTAAGATGTTGATTCTGAACTCTATCAGCAGTAGCACCAGCATCCCGAACAGTGCTTCCTTTATGCAAGAAGCACACAACAATGTACAAACAAATACAATCAGGATAACAAATTAAAGAGATGTAGGCAATTGTGACAATATTGAAGAACATTAAAGAAATTTCAGTGGCTTGAGATCCTCAAAATGTTTTCCAAACAAGTATAGGCAACAATAAGTCGGAATTCAAATATAACTCTCAGTTGAATATTTGCTCATGGCTAAAGCATACATAGTAACATAACTTGGCAGACTAAGTATGAAGAGACAAACTTGAGAGCTCGTCAAAGAAGAGGACAATGGAGCCGATTGTCTAGCTTTGTCAAAAATTGCTCTAACATAAGCTTCACTTTCACCAAACCACATTGTAAGAAATTCTTGACCTTTCACTCTGATGAAGTTAGCTTGACATTCATTCGCAATTGCTTTGGCTAGCAAAGTTTTCCCACATCCCGGAGGACCATAGACGAGACCACCTTTGGTGGTGATAGACCAAACATCCTCTCAAACTTTTCAGGGTGCTCAACTGGATATTGAACAGTTTGGGTTCACACAAACAAAAATCAGTAACATTTTAAATTGATATAGAAATAAGCAATGCGTAATTGAATGTAAGAACTATTTATAACCTCTTGCAGTTCACGCTTGACATTTTCAAGACCTCTAATGCATCCCAACTGACATTGGTACTTCAACAACCTCTCAACACACACGTTTAATAAGAAAACATATCACAAAGAAGGAAAAGCTCCATCAAGACATCAACTAATGATTTATAAATGTAGTAAAAGAAACTAACAGTTTCACCTAAAGCTGATGGGCTGTTTGTTCCAAGAGAAGTATGGAAATTATCTTTGTAATTGCCATGCAATTCAGTTCAGCATCAATTGTCTCATTCTCAAAGTCAACTACATCCATATTTTCCCTAATGCACTGCAAATCAGCTTAAGTGCAAAGGGTAGCAAGGTGAGCACCAACATATATCGTGTGAATCTTTTACAATTTTATCTAAAGCAACCTACAGAGGAAAACTACTATTGAGCAACAGATCATAAAAGATCAAAATTAAAGGTTATAAAACCTGATCAAGTGTACAAACATTACAATATAAGGGAAATCGGGTCCAAATAACTGTACTAATTTTAGAATTATCTTTTAAGTAATGACATAGTACTGATGATTATAATCCATAGACAAAAATGTTAGCCATGCCCAAAAAACAAAGACGACAGAAGAAAAATACCCACCACCACCAACAAATATGAAAGTTGAGTAATGCTAACTTACGTCATCCGAAAGCTTCATGTTTTTAGTATGTATGCGTAGGACTTCAAGTCACCCAACTTCATCAGGCACACCAATATCATTCCCCTATCATATCTGTCAAACCTTCTCAATACTGGGTCAATGCTATTTGGACGGTTAGTAGAGTCAAAAGTTGTGAAACAATCCTCTTTCAACTTCACCATGGAATCAATTTCATCAATAAAAATAATGGATGGTGGTGCATTCTTTCAGCATCTTCAAATGCTTTTCTGAGACTGCTTTCACTCTCTCCAGCAAGTTTGGACATAATCTCATGTCCATCAACACAATTGAAGAAAGCTCCAGCTACATGAGCTACAGCTCTCACTATTAGCGTCTTCCCAGAACCTGGGGATCCGTAAAATAAAATTCCTTTGGGAGGTTTGACACCAATTGATTTAAGAGTTTGTGGATACCTCAATGGTCCATTGGAAGCTCAACCAACTCACGAATCTGAGCCATTTATTTCCTGACACCTCCCACATCATCATACCATCTTCGTCCAGCCTTTCTTCGTCCTCTATTTTTCAAAGGCTCCCCCTCAGAAAATTTCAGTGTCTGAAACAACAACACAATACTCCCCAGGATCTGTTTCAGTGACCTTGAACTCAACACTTCTCATACCTCCCCTGACAAGAAACAGATCTCCTTTTCTTACTACACCATAAGCATCAAACAAATAAGCTGCAAATTCTTAAACATAAAAGAAAATGCTAGTGGCAAATAAACACATAAATATTCATAAACTATATTACGTCAAATATAAAGAATAGAGACTTTAGGAAACTGAAAATTAAAGATTCTCCGGACAGGTAAGTTGAGAATCGAAGTATGAGTTTAAATTTCATATTAAGTAGAAATTGAAAAGTTGAATGACATATAAATGAAAAAATCCACAAACTTAATGCTCTGAGATTTTTTATTGAAGCTCATATTCTCTCCTATATGGTTAGCTCATGACCATCCCGGTTGTTTGCCAACATGGTAAAGGGTAATTCTAGCATGTGTTGAATAAACTATAAAGGCAATGGAATCAAATCACCAAAAGTTAAGTGTTTATTTGTTTGAGAAAATATTTTTTATTTTGCTTCCATTCCCTATTTTCATAAACAACTAAAAAAATGTTTACACTATTTTCATGTTGTTTCTTGTTTTAGATATTTCTATAGCAAATGCTAAAAACAACAAATACTGCTTTCAGTTTTCACAATGTCCTATATATTTGAAATCTGAGGAAAAAAATTACAATTACTATCAGTGCAGATAGACAATTGTTTCTCAAAGACAAGCCCTAATGTTTTCTCAAACATAAAACGATTTATAAAGTAATCAATATGAGAAAAACAAGAAGATCCACCAGAGCTAGTCAACCATAAGCATTCAGGCATAAAATAGACTGTTAGAGCTCTGGTTAAAGGTAAATCAAAGAGGGGCTTCCAACAAAAGGGAAGACATCAAAGTGATTGACTAGAATAACTGAAAAGGAGATATCCCTCTCAAGGCCATGTATTTTTAAAAGATGCAAGGCTGATTATAAATATTAACACATGAAAGAAGGGCAAATCTTCAAATATTGAAAGATGCATGTTAAAATCATTCATGAAGCATCAAGAAGAACTAAACCTGTGCTAAAAATATGAACAAGTAAGAATTCAGTAATGAAGCATCAAAATAACTGGAGCTTTATTAAGAGGTATTCTCCAGCTTAGAAAAATAAAAGGATGAAAAAACTCACGTTTCAAGAAAGCATCAAACACATTGCCGGTCACACCTTCAATGGTATCATCAATGGGCAGAATGTGCACTGGTTTCCCAGACCCGACATCTCCAACCCCAACCCGAGATTTGCTCTTACAACCTTCTTCATCGTCATCTTCCGTTGCCCACAATCATGAATAGAGAACCATCAAATACAAAATTTATTTTAGTATCTAATAATATTTAATAATTTATAAATATCAGTGACAATTTTATTGAAATTACTTTTAAACCAAAGTTTGTAAAAGAACAAATTATCGACATCAATAAAAAAAATTAACTCGACAAATTTCGATCTTGATCAAATGATTGAGTTATGTTTGAGGAAGTAAAAAAATAAAAAATAAAAAATAAAATAATTATATAAGAGATTTAATAAAAAATATAAGAATTTTAAATTTTTTATTTTTAGATGAAATTTAAAATTCTTAAATTTTCAATAAATAAATAAATAAATTATTTTTATAATTTTTTTATTTTTTTATAACGTAATTTAATAGATCAATAAAAAAATATATTTATTTTATACAGACATAATAGTAATGTTTTCTCAAATTAAAAAAGAGGTAGTTTGAATTTGAAAATCGTTAGTTTTAAAAGCGTAAACTGTACTGTGCTACTGGGCTAGGCCTGTCCTGTCTTTTTTTTTTCTTTTTTCTTTATCTTTATAAAATTAAAATAACTGTTTTTACTTTTTATATAATATGAAAATTTTCATTTTAATAATTATAAATTATTTTTTATTATAATCCAACAAAACTTAAAATCACCATTTGTAATATTTATTTTGAATAGATTATTAAAATTTATTTTATGAATCTCAACAGTTTTTTCTCAGTCTATTATTTAACATCAATATTTTTAGTCTTTAATATTACAATGATTATTCAACATTTTTTCAAAACATGAATAATTAAATTTTATTATATGATATTAAAAATTAAAAAAAAAATTTACTTTAAAAAAACAAAAGAAAAGATAAAATCATAATTAGAACACATTTATTCTATAAAAGCTAAAATTATATTTAAGTAATTTAAATACTACATACATTTGTTTATGATAAATCATGGCTATCATATATGTACTTCAATTATTACTATGTTATCATGATTTTCCTTCAAATACAAGTTTGAAAAAAAAGAAACAAACTCATACAACAAATTTATGATTATCATCACGAATGATGAGTATAATTAACATGTCCAGATCCAATGATTTATATATCTCATCAGCATTACATAATTAATATATAAAATTTGTTTGTTTATAATATCATTTACAAAAAGTATATACAAAAATTAATTTTCTGTAAATAAAAATTTGCTTATAAATAAGTTTGTTTAATAAGTTAAATTTAACTTAATGTACAATAAAAAAGTTGAATTCGTTTTCCTTAATTATTAACTGAAATTTTAATTTTGTTTCTTTATTTAATATAAATTTTAAATGTAGATTCATAATTTTCTATTACAATAGACAAATAACATTAAGTTAAATTCTGATAAGATATATTAAATTTAGCGTAATAGATTAATTATATAAAGTTCTTAATAAAATCATATTTATGATTAAGATTCACTCGTTTTGAATTGCATTTTTCTCCAAGATTGGTTAATTATGTATCTCAAATTAAAGAAAGAAATTATTACACATAAAAGATCATTTTCAATTCATTAAACATAGGCTTGGAAACTGATTCAACTCATTCTTATCTCACCATAAGTATTAATATTTTATGTTATTTTACAATTTATTATGTTTTATCGTGTATCATATGTCATAATTTTGGATAAAAATACGTGTCTTCACAAAACTAATGCTTCAACTTTTTCTATGAGTAGGTTTGAAATCACAGAAGGGTAGCTGCTATGATATTTGAATTATGTTGAATACGATTTGAATGAAAGCTGAACATTTTACATATTAATTAAGATTAATGGGTCCGAATGTCATGTATGAGTTGGTATACCTCACAAAATTTTCTTTGCTTTTGTTAAAATAGCAACTGTTGTAGTGCCCAGTTTCTTAGGAACCTACCACACTGATACATTTCAAGCTCTTCATTATCTTAAATATTGTTAAGTAACATTTAATATGATGTTTTGACTTTTTTTTTTTTTTCATGTAAATTGAATGCTTTTTCGTACGTGTCTATTCATTCATTGTCAATTTATCGAAAATGCAGAGTTCTGTCTTCTTCCAAATTTTGCTATGATTAATCGTGACTTCTTCAACATGTTAGATAGTTTCTGTTGCAACTGATTAAATCTTGAAGTAGACTTTCTTGGCAGTTTTCATGAACTCAGCCTCTTAAAAGATAATAATTATGATGTTATATTTGTCTGTAAATTTGTTTTTTGTTTTAGTAATGTCCCATTAATGTTTTTCTTAAGCATATACATTTTTTTATACATAATTGTTTTTGTCCTCGTTTGATCTATATTTGTTTTTATCATTTGTGGGCTAATTATTAATATTTCCAACTTTTATTGAAGCAACACAAGAAAAAAATTGGAAAAATTCCACTTATAAATATCCGACAATTAAAGTTATAATAAAGCTATAATAATTAACATAAATTTGTAATGAATGAGAACACTCTTGAAGTGGTAACATGGATTCATAAGAAAAAAGTTATTACTACCGAATCAATAGGGTTGGGTTCACTTGAAAAGGGTCTGAATTAACAGGTGGCACGCATTTATTGGCTGTTTAATGAAGACTTGTCGCGGTGGCACTTGGAAGCCAACATCATTACACACAACACTTGTCTTAACAAAAAGAAAAAGAAACACTTGATATGTGGAAGCCACACCACAAAAGATAAGACAAGAAGAGGGAGAAAAATAGTAAAAAGAAAAAGAAAAAATTTAAATGAAAGATGATAAAAAAAAGCGTTTGTGAGAGAGTGCGAGGCACTGAGATGCGAAATGCGAAGGAAAGAAGCAAAGCAAACAATACAAAAAAAACCGGGTTCGGTTGGTCAAATCACGTTTTTTCTCTCACATAAGCTACGACTAGTGTTGTAGTTCATTCCGCTTCTTCACTCTCTTTCTCTCTTTCACATTCACTCTCTCAGCTCATGCTTTGCGTAGATCCGGGTATGCACTATGTTTTTTCCTTTCTATCTGTTTCTTTAAGCAAGTTTGGGATTGTTGGCCGGTTTTACTTAGCAATGAGTGAGGAGTATTCGTTTATTTCTTACCCTCCTCTCTGTTTTTTTGGGGTTTTAGTGTGCTGTGTGAAGTTTGTATTTGGTTGTGCTAAATGGTAAGTGAATAATGTGAAAGGGGTGTCTATGACATAGTTGGGAGGAGGGGTTGTCTTTAATAGAAATCCCGGGTACAAGGTTTGATTTTTGAGGTTTCTTGTCTCAATTTTCGTGGAAAATAGATATGACTTTTGTGTCTTTGGAGAGGAGGATTAGGGCATGCTTGCATTCTTTGCATCCTTCAATGACCATTTTACTCGTTAAGGTTCTGTCATTTTTTTTCTGTTTGGATTTTTTTAATCTCATTTTTCCATTTTCGCCTTATGTTTCATCTTGCCTTGAATTATTAATCATAATTTTATCCCATTTTACCTTATTTGCTTCCCTATTTTTCGTTTCTGTCTTGTATTATTAATAATTATAGCGAGTTTCTATTCCATGAAAATAGCCTGACACTCTAGTTCACTGCATTATCCAGGCTGTCATTGTGGTGTCTGCTTTTTTTGTTTCATAAATGAGATTTGACGAGAATTGGGATTCAGCCTTAATTTTTTCCAGTTTTTCTTCTCGATTTAACTTTGATTAATGATTTGCAAAGCAGGTCGCTGGTAGACATCATTCTTCGTGTACAGAAAATGTTGTGTATTTGAGATGTGTATGACTAACAGCTTCAATGCACAGTTGAACTAGAATGGAAAATTCTGCTGCTTGGTGAATGATGCTTAAAATTTGATGTAAGGTAAAAGTAACTGGATATTATGGAAGAAATACAGTCTCAATCAGATAATTATAGATCTTCATCATCGTCAGCAAGCAGCCCGGCAAGTAGGGTGCCATCAAGTAACTTCTTCTATCTGCGGAAGCCTGGTTCACTCAGGCAGCCCATATCTTTTGAGGATTCACCTGAGTGGGATGATACTGATATTGATGTTAGAGTTGAGGATGGAGGCGACTCTATTAATGTTGCAACAACACCAGCTTCTCCTTCTCTGTCAAAGCTCAACAGTGGGTCTCTGCCATCCCCACGTCTACCGGAGGGTGCAGTAATTCCGCGGAAAATTGCTGGCGCCTCTGTTGCCTGGAAAGATTTGACCATTACAATAAAGGGTAAAAGGAAGTACTCTGATAAGGTTATTAAGAGTTCAACTGGTTATGCGTTACCTGGGACAATGACTGTAATTATGGGGCCTGCTAAATCAGGGAAATCTACCTTATTGCGAGCCATTGCAGGTCTTGAAGCACGCTTCCTTTGTCCTTTTTTACTAAACATTTCGTGATCATACAATGTATATCTGAATTATCAAAGCTAAATGGTTTTTCTCTTTACCTCAGGAAGATTGCATTCTTCTGCCAGGATGTATGGTGAAGTGTTTGTGAATGGAGCAAAATCACAAATGCCTTATGGGTCTTATGTGAGTTCAGTATCTCATTGACCGATTAATATTGAATCTCCTTTGTGTCTACAGTGGTCAATCTGATTGAACTTATCTGCCTATCCACTTTACTTTCAGGGTTATGTGGAGAGAGAAACCACTCTGATTGGATCCCTTACTGTGCGGGAATTTCTGTATTATTCAGCCCTTCTTCAGCTTCCTGGTTTCTTTTGTCAGAAAAAAAGTGTGGTTGAGGATGCAATACATGCAATGTCTTTAGGTGATCATGCAAATAAACTTATAGGTGGACATTGTTATATGAAAGGGCTTCCTAGCGGGGAGAGAAGACTTGTTAGCATTGCGAGGGAGCTTGTGATGAGACCACGTATTTTATTTATAGATGAACCTCTTTATCATTTGGACAGGTGTTTATTTTAATACTTTTAATTCCTTTAATTCCTTTAATTCCTTTTATTGTAATAATTCTCAGTTGCTTGATTGTTTTCTATATTCGAACCATGTTTGTTAACTTTTTACTATTTATCTACTTTTCTTAAGTGTCTCGGCACTTTTAATGATGGTTACATTGAAGAGACTTGCAAGCACTGGTTATACTCTCATCTTGACCATATATCAAAGCAGCACGGAAGTCTTTGGCCTTTTTGACCGTATATGCCTACTTTCAAATGGAAATACACTCTTCTTTGGAGAAACACTAGCTTGCTTGCAGGTAATTTCTATTCATTCTCAAATATTTCACATATAATTTTATTAATTATGGGATTTATGATTAATTTTATGTTTGTATAGATACTAATTAATATTTATTTATGAAAATTGATCAAAGATGTGTTTTACAAGATTGTCAAAATCTTCAAGTTTTTGAATATTCTGTTTGTACATGGAATATATATATCTTTGTTACTGACTTTTATAATTTTATGTTGATGAAGCACTTTTCAAATGCTGGATTTCCTTGCCCAATCATGCAAAGTCCTTCTGATCACTTTCTCCGTGCAATTAATACAGATTTTGACAGGATAATCGCAATGTGTAAAAACTGGCAGGTGAATGTTACTGGTGAATTGATGATTGATGTGCTCAATGCATTTTGGATGTCTCATATCAGACATATAATGATACTTTATTAACATTATCACATCATATAATAGGATGACAATGGAGATTTTTCTTCTGTAAACATGGACACTGCTGTTGCTATACGCACGCTTGAAGCAACTTACAAGTCATCAGCGGATGCAGCTGCTGTTGAAACTATGATTCTGAAACTCACTGAGAAGGTATATTGTAACTGCTGAAATAGACACATTATACAAGTTAGATCTTCTGTTAATTTGGGCTGTGAGTTTCACCATAGGTCCGTCCCTAAAAAATCATAGTACAAATTGCCAATTTATGGATTTTAATACATTATTTGTATTTATTATTTCAACAATTGAGTATAGCGTGGGATTGAAAGTTTCGCACTTAGTTACATAAGCCAATAGATGTTGAACAGAGTGGAAACTTTACAGTTTAGGCAAATATTATCAGTTGGATTTAATAGATAAGAAAACTGAGCTTCCATTGAGGGGCATTAGTACAAATATTCAAGCTTTTGGAAATATGTAATGTGAGGGATTTCTGGATATGCTAATGGATGATTGGAGATTATGTTTCATTAAGACCGTTTTAAAAGGATTGTTCGGACGGATGATTTTGTTGAAGTAGGCGATCTGCACTTCTTATGATAGGTTATGTTAATTTATTCTGAGCAGCAGGCCTACTTTAAATTTTGTTTCAGGCTTTATTCTGCTCTACTGCATTTAAAGAGCAGTTATCGTTGGATGTTGAGTTTTGGAGTCATTTTAAAGCATGCTTGATTTTGCAGGAAGGTCCAGTTCTCAAAAGCAAGGGAAAAGCTAGCAATGCTACTCGGATAGCAGTTTTGACATGGAGATCTTTATTAGTTGTCTCAAGGGAGTGGAAATATTACTGGCTACATCTTATTCTTTACATGCTTCTCACACTGTGTATTGGCACTGTATTTTCTGGTCTTGGGCATTCTCTGTCTTCTGTTGTGGTGAGTCTTGACTCTTAGAATTTATATCTGCATTTATATTTGCCGGAAGCTCTAGTTACAGTTATGATACATTGGAACTAAATTTTAACATCTCTCAAATTGCAGACAAGAGTTGCGGCAATTTTTGTATTTGTATCATTCTGTTCCCTTCTAAGCATTGCTAGGGTGCCTGCACTAATGAAAGAAATCAAGGTAATTTTATGCTTGTTTCACTTTACCGCAATATGTTATTTTTCCTTGATGTGCTTAAATTTAATATGCATACAATAAATATAATAGTCCACATGGCAAGGCAAGTATTTGAAATTGTCTGCTTTGTCAGTTCTTTCTTTTGTATAATGGCATTGGTCTATAACATCAATTAAAAAACATAATGCCTTAATTTATTTGATGATTTTACTAACTCGTGAAAAGGTTATACATAAATTTACTTGCTTTGAAATATGGATCACTTAGTTTTAATAAGAATGCACTGGCTACTCAAAAAATATCTTATAATGTCATGGTAGAACCAATATATATATATATATATATATATATATATATATATTGTTTTCATTGTAGATCTACTAGATCATAAACTATGTAGTAATTGCATTTATAATGGTTGTACATGTTTTTTCCTAGTATACAGTTAATCGCTAGTATTTGTAGTACCTCTTATGTGTTTAGTAAATTAAGCATTTCATACTTCCATAACTTCAAAATTAACCAAGTACAATCAAGAAACATGTAGTAAGCAATGAGACATGTTTGGAATATAGCTTAAATTATCGATTTCAGATATTGTTGTTGAAAACAAATTACCCTCAAATTCCCAACAACGGTTTTTTCTTTCAGCTTCATACACACCCTTCTTGGAATTTATGGTATAAAAGCTGATTTTTTTGTTGTATCCAAATGAAAATAATTATTTTAAAATTGCTTTTCAGGAAGTTTACTTAGACAAAAACTAATTATGATTATTATCTCAAGCACACCCTAAGTAGTAAGTATCAAAACACATCTTTGTTATAGAATTAGGTGCTTGTATTTGTGTTTTCTCTTCAGTGTGTTTGGTAGAACTAACTCTTCTATGTTGACTCCAAGAGAAAAAGTGAAAAATAAGATACAATTTACATGATCATTTTGTTGGTCGGCATGATATATCTGCTTTAAGGATTAAGATATGGATTTTCAACAATTTCGCTCAGTAATCCTTTTTTGCAGATATATTCCTGTGAAGAATCAAACCAGCACTCCAGTACATTGGTTTTTTTACTTGCGCAGCTCTTGTCAAGCATCCCGTTTCTTTTTCTCATCTCCATTTCATCAAGTCTTGTCTTCTACTTCCTCGTCGGGCTGGAAGATCAATTTAGCTTGTTAATGTACTTTGTGCTCAATTTTTTCATGACTTTGCTGCTGAATGAAGGAATTATGTTAGTTGTGGCTACTTTGTGGCAAGATGTATTTTGGAGTGTCCTGACACTGTTGTGCATACATGTGAGTTCCATTGTCTTTTCTTATGTAAAACAAAAGTTACAGGCTACTTAACTACCAGTCTACTGGTCTATATTTCCACTCAAGCCATGATTACATAAGAACTTTAGCTGTTTCCTGAAGTAGCTACTGATGCATATGTATGCCATTTCAGGTGGTCATGATGCTTTCAGCAGGCTATTTTAGAATTCGAAATGCTTTGCCTGAACCAGTGTGGATGTACCCAATGTCGTATATATCCTTTCATACATACTCTATTCAGGTAAGTTGATATATACGTTTGTTTCTGATTATTTTTGGGATTCAACTTCTAAAATTAGGAGGATAAACCATATAGATTCAAATGATCCAATCTTTTTCCCTAGATGGGTATTTATGGAATTACTTATATCACTAATTGATAGGGGCTATTGGAGAATGAATACCTTGGGACCTCCTTTGCAGTGGGGCAGGTCAGGACCATCTCTGGGTTTCAAGCTCTCCAAAGTGCGTACAATATCTCCCCCGACAGTAATTCGAAGTGGAAAAATTTGTTGGTTTTGTTTCTTATGGCAATTGGTTATCGCATTTTTGTGTTCATTTTATTATGTTTCTTCACTGGGAGAAAAATATCCTTGCGTAAATGTTTCAAGTGTAATAGGGATACAACAGATCATACAAGCTGATGAGAACAGCACGATGTTCAGCCATTTACATTGTATAATTCCTTTTGATGGAGTTCTGCTTGTGAACTCTAGTTTTGTGATTTTACCTTTGACTAATGAAGAGAAAATGTGATATTATTATTACCATTGTTTTCAACTCTAGTATTATATTATTTTCATACTTATCTTCCATACCAAGTAGTATGACGTGAGAACATACGATGTTATAATGGATTTCAGTCACGCTGACAGTAGAGGCCTCGAATTCAGAGCATGTTTGTTGTGATTAACGTTGATGGATTTTGAGGCACGCTCCCCTACATAATTTGTCCTCATGTCCCGTTGACGTGGCTCTCTTTAATCCATGTTTGGTTATGTTTACATCACGAGCTACACAAGCGTGGTGTTGTTGCAGTGTTGTGCCATAGAAAAATTCTGATTGTTTTTTTTTTTTTCATTTTAACTTTTTTAATAAGATTTTTTTTTTTCAAGTTTAAGTAATACTATTTGTCTACAAAGTAATTAATAATTTAGTATGCTGCACTTTATTATTTTGTAGAGTTTCCGTTAAGAACAATGGTGTGTTTTTCAGAATAGTTGTATAAATCATGATAGGGACCAGGAGATTTAGGGCCTTGAAAAGCCCACGGAGCCCACTATGACCCATCGACCCAAAGGCGAATAGTATAAAATCCCAGTTAAGAAGAAAGTGGCAGCAGCAATATTCCCAATTCCAAGTTCCTAAATCGTAATCTATGGACAAATAAAAATTGTAACCTAACATTTGAAAATTAGAAAGTTGGTTGGTTTTAACTGAGAATTAATGAATTTTACTTATAATATTTTGGAACCGCGTAAATTGACCGTGACGAATGCGTTTTGGTGAGGCGAGAAAGGAAAAGGAATAGGAATTAGGATTGCGAAATCTTCTTGTGCGCGGGTTGTTGGGTTGCATTCTTCTCCTGCATGCGTGATCTCATATTCTTCCCCCGTAAAACCCGATTCTGGTGGCGTTCTTCCATGACGACGTCGTTTCTTAACGGCGAGAGGGCGGTGGTGGTGTTTTTCATCTGCAGAATCCTCTATTCTCTCCCTCTATCTCTCCTCTTCCATGGCGTCGCTCTCTCTCTCCTCACCCTCGCCTCTTTCTCCCTTGAAATCTCCTTCGACTCTTCCAATTCCCCTTCTCTTTTCCGTACCAGGTACCTTCCTATCCCTAACTCTTCCCTCCCCCCCCCTCTCTCTCTCTTCATTCACCATTGAATTACTTTCCTTTCAGGCCAGGCGCTTCTTCTGGAATTCTGCTCGGCGCCGTCACTCTGCCTTCTCTTCTTCTGTCCAAATTGGTACAACTATCGCGGGGAATCTCACTTGCTCAACTTCAACTTCAAGGTTTTCATTCTAATTTCTTTACCATGATCCATCCCTCTTGCTTCCTTTTTTTTTTATCACTATTAGATAGGAGTTGCAAATTGCAATTTCTTGATGTGTAAAATTTGAATTTTTAGAGATTCAATATCTGACATGGCAATACTGGGCCACCTCTGCCAGCGCCTGCAGCGTTGTTTTGTTCCTCGCCTTCGCACGACGCCGTTCTTCATTATCCCCTCCTCATTGGGGTGTGAAGTTTAGCTTATGCTCCATTTTCCTTGAAGTTCTCGTTTCTGTTGCTGCCCTTGCCACCACATCTCAAATTGGTATGTGTTTGTTTGGAACTTTGTGAACAGCGAAATCAAATATTCCTGTTATATTGAATAGGTTGGACCAGACATCTTTGAAATGAGCAACTCGCGTTGGGGAGTAAAATTTTTAGTTGTTGACGAGGAAATTAACATTTTATATTAAATGCACATGTTAAACAAATGAGGATACCTACTTTATTCTTATTCTTATTCTTATTCTTATTATTATTATTATTATTATTATTAATTTTTTTTTTCATTTGCTTTGCAGGGATGCATCCGGCACTGAAGCTGGCGTGGGTCTTTAGTCATGGATTGGCGTCTGTGAAGCTAATTCAGCATTTCCTCAGAACTTTTCCCTCTTGTGCTTCCATTGGTATTGCTATTTTACACTCATGGTCTTAGTCACCTTTTCTTTGTGTTTGGGATTTTACCTTTGTCACAACTGATATGGGATTAAAAGCTCCATCAAAAAAAGAAGCCAGACTAGGAATTGATCTCTTTTTATTGTTCATTGATTCTTTCACGTAACTACGGAAATTTTTTTCTAAATATGATGTATGTGGACCTGGCATATCAATTGAAATTGGTAAATGATCATTGCAAATTATCAGGTTAATGCAAATTAGTTTCATCTTTGTTTTGTTTCTCCTTTGTAATAGCTGGGTTCATCTTTTCACTCTTATCTGAGATATTCATAAATATTTCATTGCTGCCACTTGGTGTTCATGCCTCAGTATAACTGCATAGTTGATTAGAAAGTGTGTGTGTTTAATATGTCTGCACTTTTAATAATCATATTTTCCCCTCTAATACCAGGGGAGGCATCTTTGGTGACTTCTGGTATTGTTCTCTATTTTGGTGACATGTTGTTGCTTACTATTAAAAAGGTTAGTACTTCTTCGCATGATATGTTCCTAGGCAACTAACACACACCTGTAAATATGTGTTTGCATAATTATTGGTGATTACACTGTGTGAACAGCTACATGGACTATTGTTCTCATCAGAGTTAGTTGCTGCAGAATATGAAACAAGTAGAAGTGAGATAAGCATTATAATTCAGGTATTGGATTGTTAGTTGTAAATTTATTATTAATAGTATAGTTCAATCTTTTTAAGTTGTCTATTTTCTTGTAGGGGCTTGTGCTTGGTCTTCTGCTCTATCCAATAGCTTTGAAATATATTCTCCAAGTATGGGAGTGGTCTATAAATACATCTTCTGCTGAAGCAAGAAGATACTATGAGATTGGGAGAACTCTTATTTTTGTTGCTTCCCTTGGATTTGTCCTGATTATGATTGTACCATCATGGATGCAATTTGTGCAGGAGTTTCACGAGCATCCTTTTTTCTGGTATCACTTCAATATCTGATACAAGTGGATTATTTTGTTAGCTTAGCCGCCTCTTACTGATGTATTACAGATGTCATCATGGAAGCAATAATAATAGGACTAAAGTAGTTTTATTGGTACAAATAGAGAATGATTAGGATATTGTATAATTTATGCTGACAGCTCTGGTGCAACTTACACCAGAAAACTGCTAATTCCACTAGAAAACTTGGAATGATGAATGTTGTCATATTATTTGGTTCCACTGCATCTACACGCAGAATTAAGCACACACATTCCCACTTTTTATCTACTACGTTTTTTTGTGAAAGTATGTTAAAATTCTGATTGCAATTCTCTGAAAAATGTGGCTTGCTATAAAAGCAGCATAAATTTTATGCCTTCCTTCCTATATAAATCCACGTCAGATTGTTTGGAGAAAAATTAGTGATAGTAGAAACTGAATCTAATTCAACTAGATTTAAATTTCCAGACAGTTCACAAGTTCACAAGCAGAAGCTTGTGTAGGCTTGTTAAAATACGATTATGAATTTGATGAAAGTTTCATGTTCAAATTATTTTGTATGAAACAACTGTTCTTTTATGATACCAGCTATTTTGTTAGAGTACTATATTTACACTTTTGAAACATGTCATTGCAGGGTGATTTCCTTTGTTTTCTCAGAGCCATCCAAAAGACTGTCGTTATGTATGTATTGGATGTCTATAATTTGTGTTTCTGTTTTGCGATTCTATAATATCTCCAAGAACAGTAAGCTTGAGAGAATTCTTTTGAGGAAATACTACCATCTGATGGCTGTCTCGATGTTTTTGCCTGCCCTTATCTTCCAGGTGATTTGGGACCACTTGTTTGTATGCTATTCTACACTAGAAAAAGGGATTTTGCTACTTAGTATCCATTTTCATTTTTACACCTGCAATATGGGGGGGGGGGGTGCACCACTTGTTTGGGTATACATTTTGTGTTGGCCATTGGTATTACTGTTTCTAATAAGTTCATTGTTACTAATGCTTGTCTGTTCTATTTCTTTCAGCCAAAATTTCTTGATCTAGCTTTTGGTGCGGCTTTGGGAATTTTCCTAACCTTAGAAATTATTCGAGTAAGTAACTTGATATACACACAACTTAGCACTAGGAGTGGCAATTTCATATTTTGAAAAGAATGAAGTGTGTTCATTGTTTATTGTTAATTATGTGAATAATGGAGGAGGAAAAACTTGAATTCAAGTACTTAAAATTTGAAGAACCACAATGAAAGAACAGTTCACTGTTTAAGGAGTATCCGTATGTGGCAAGAAGGGTTTATTCCGGTGGGTCCTGTGAGTTGTATGTGGAATAGTCCTTGTTTCATAACAGAAAAGAAGGCGTAAGAATATGTAAGTTACTAACTAGGAGACAATTTCTGCAAGAACAAATTTTCCTAAAAATGTTGTGAACGTCCGGATTTCAACAAATTACTGCATGCTTTATATATTATGACTTAACAAATGTGATGATTTGTGTACTGTTGGCAAATGATTGCAACAATTGGAGGCCGTTGTACATATAGCACATAGTATTTCTTGCTCTGACTTATGCCAATGTGTAGTTCATGGTTGCTAGAATATATGAAAGTATCGTATCATATATCAGGATTTGTTATCATATTTCATTGTCTTGTCATGATTTATTTATGTAAATGGTTAGGATTATGATTGATAAACATTTTGTGTTCTATGTTTTTATGAACATATTAACACACTGTAATATATAGATTTAGTATTTCATTCTCTTTTATCTCTCTTTCTCCCTCTACATCTAAAACCCATAATTTTGACAACTCATCATCATGGCAGCACCATTCTCCATGATTTATCCCATGAATGCCTACCAAAAAAATGGAGTTCTACTTTATATCCATATTTTTTCCTTTGAAGTAGGTGTCTATCAAGTGCCATATCTTCTTTGTTTTCAGTAGTTGTCTATCCATATTTTATCCCATGTTCAGCAGTCCTTTGTTTTCAGGCAATATAACTATTGTTTTGCATCTTCTCTGGCCACCATCTATCACCAGCAGACATCTTTTCTTGCTCTTCATGTTCTAATCTGAATACCCACCTCCTCTGTGATCTGTTCTTGCAAGATTCACTGTTTTTGGAGTCTTTACATGCTTACATGTTCTGTTTGTTTGTGGTAGGCCTCACTGGCACATGTGTGCGCCACATTCGTGTTGCTGGTCTAGTCTTGTTTGTTGAATGCTAATATTTCTGTTTCCACCTCTTTTCAGTCACTGGGTTTAAGCATGTAACCTCGTATTGGATGTTTCATTTTTTGCCCTGTTTGTCCGTGCTTGTGCCTCTCTATTGAAATTTGATCTATTTGGTTTGTATCCCGACCCATGAGATTAGAGACATTGGTTTAGCCCCATGAGATTAGAGACATTTGTTTAGCCCCATGACATCCTAGCCACAGCTTTACTAGAAATAACAAATAGCTCGCTTTCCCCGGACATTATCCTTGGCCAATGTCCCCATGACTCAACCGCAAACTCAGTCTCATGGCTTTCCTTGAGATATTAGCCTAGCCTCATGGCTTAAGGCATAGATATCAACCTGGCCCCATAACTTCCTTATGGAATTCAGCCTAGTCTCGTCTTTACCTAAAGTATCAGTTGGCCCAGTGTCAATCCTAGAGAATCATCTTAGTCTCTCCATTCATTCCAAAGTCTCAAATTATAATGCTTGATTTCTTTAATCTAAATTTTTTATGTATAACAAGCTTAATATCTTAGAATATCCTCAAAGATTAGTTTTCCTCTTCCCACCTTTTCTTAGTAATCATATTCCCTTATCTTAACCGGATTTGTTTTCCTAATTCGTTAGAAGGATTATGATTAGAATAAGTAAAAGTTTGTGTCTAGCTTTAATGAATTTATCAATGTATTGTAATAGACCTCAGTTAATGTCAATTTAGTGTTGCATTATCTTTTATCTTTCTTCCTTTGTACCTAAAAGACCTTAATTTCAATAAATGGTTAATGGAAAGATTTGCAATGTCTGAACTTTGCAAGTTGACCCCTTCTCTTAGTGTTTTCCTAATGCTAAACTCTGATATATTGCCTATAAATTGTGTCTTTGTTTTCTCATGTGTTTCAAAGCTGGCTGATTGGTATGCAACTTTTGTTTAGGTAGATAGAGATAGACATTTCTTGGTTGCTTTTATATTAACACTGTTTGACCTAGGTATGGAGAATATGGCCCTTGGGACAACCAATAAATCAATTTATGAATGCATTCACTGATCACCGTGACTCTGATCTTCTCATTGTCAGGTATCATTCCCTTTTCCATTGTATCTCAAATGTGGAGCATACTGTTTATGATGCATAAGAACTATATTTAGTTCCCTTTCACGATTATTTTGTTCTTTTTTGTGCAGCCATTTCTCACTCTTACTGGGATGTGCGCTTCCTATTTGGATGTCTACTGGGTACAATGATCGACCTCTTGCTCCTTTTGCCGGAATATTGAGTCTGGGAATTGGAGACACGATGGTAAGTTTGCTTTTATTTTTTATTTTTTGGGGGGTGGGGGGTACACGAACTTCTAAATTAAGATAAAGATATTCTCAAAAGGTAAATTGTTTTTTCTATTATGCAACTTTTTTGGACCTCTCAACAATGTTTCAAGTAACCATAAACGCAAGAACCTGAATCAATCTGGAAATTGATACTGCTAGTATTATAAATTTCTAGACAAGGAAGTTACTCCTCACATTTTTAGGAGTCGTGATTATTTTTCATAAATAACTAATTATGATTTTTTCAATAAGGAGTATGAATACTTAAGTGATGGTTGTCTGAGGGTTTATGATTGTGAGGGTACCATTCTATATAGTGGAAAAGTCAGACCAAAGAAAAGCAGTAAAAGAAAAATGTTTTTTTTTTTTTCTATACATTTATTTACAGAAACATAAAAGGGAGTTATTCTGTTAATGGTTAATTTTCTCTGTAGTTTGTTGGTTACTTTAATCCGTTTCTATGTATTAAATTTGAATTCTCATTTTTGAATATCAAGGAGTCAGATATGTCTTCTTTCTTATAATGCCACATGTTTTTTTTATATTATAATACTCGTTTTTGAAATGTTAAAAGCACCATCATCTTGTTTCTAGTAAAAAGGGATTAGCGGTAGTAACACATTTTCTCAACTTTCATACTAAAGATGTTTTTGAACGAGTTTTTTCATGAAGAGGGAAAAATAAGAAAAAAAAATGAAATTGACTTTTCTGTAAGTTAAAATTAGCTCATGAACGAACTAATTTTGTAGAAATTCTCATAGCTTCTCCAAAATTTTCAAATTTTTATTTTTGTCTTGTTTATGATCTAATTTTAACTAGACAGAAGTTAATTTCATTTTTTTCTACATATTTTTCTCTTCTAGAATTCTGGAGATTAAACAAAATGTAATATTTGTAAATCATGATTAAGTTAATTTTCAATTAATCCGATTAAGTTTTGAGAATTTCAAAAGTAAAATGCTTCAAACATTTTTTTTGTTCTCTCTCTCTCTCTCTCTCCTTATGTATTTTACAGAGTATCCATGTAATAAACGACATACTTACTAGTTTATAGTAATCGATTCTCTTATTTGTTAGGCATCAATGGTTGGGCACAAGTATGGTGTTTTGAGATGGAGTAAAACTGGAAGTAAGTATTTTCATTGTTAATTTTATCAGTCTTCCATTACGAGATGTGAATGCGTAGTTTTCTCACTTGACAGAGAAAACAGTTGAAGGTACTGCAGCTGGTATAACTTCGGTACTAGCCGCTTGTTCTTTACTCCTTCCACTCTTAGCATCAACTGGATATATTCTCACTCAGGTGACTCCCTCTCTTTCTATCTTATATTTGAGGGCAGATTAGGTTTGGTTAAGTTAGGATATGTAAGTAAACTCCTTAGTAGCAAAGTTGACGGCCTTGAAGTGTCGTAGAAATAGAAAGAACTTGATTTGCCTGCATAACTGATCTCCAGGACCTTTTTGCATTTATTTTCCTTGATAAAATGAGGTATCTCTGTTCGGTCACATGTCACTATGTGTAGATGAGGTGCCCCACATCATGCTTGTTTTACTTGCCCTAGTACGTATAAGCACCAAAGCTGTACGTAGTACGTTTAGTTACCGCTGGTTGACAATTTCTTGGATTAATTAGTTAGGAACCTAGTGGCCGAGCATTATTCACGCACACAATCCAACTACTACATGTAGAGTTAGGTCTGAATTCAGGTATCACGTATAGTATGCCTTAAGAGAGTAGTTGCTTTACTTCTGCCTAACTCTAATTTCTCATCCCGGGCGACAACCCAACATAGGGAGGGAAAGCAATCGAAAGCTAACACTATACTAGAGGGTAGTTTTATCGTTTAGTGCCCCATTTAACAGGAAAAAAGGTACATAAAATTCTCATTTATCGTGAAGAAAATGAAATGAATAAAACTAAAAGTGAGGGAAACCTACTTCTCTCGAATAATGTTAGTTCTTTTGGATTATTGAGTTTATCTTTGATGTATTTTCATACCAACTTTTTGCAGCATTGGTTCTCTCTTCTTCTAGCTGTGACTGTAAGTGGTTTGTTGGAGGCCTACACAGCACAACTTGACAACGCATTTATACCACTTTTTTTCTATAGTCTTCTCTGTTTGTAGGCACAGCTTAGTTTGTTATATTGGATGAGCAACGGCAGGGTTCTGCACATATATGTTGTGTCTGGGCACATTGTTTTTGCAGAGATCAGATAACTATTAACCAATGCAATTGTACTTGACAGTTTAGGGTTGTGGATATATAGTTAGGATTGTATCTCACAGATATGATAGGTATACATGTTCATTTAAAGGGTTATACCCAACACACATGACATAATGTATGGAGGAGTGACAGTTTCACATTTTTTATTAAATCATTCTGACGCTACGACAAGAGGAGTTATATTCAATCTCTCTGCAATACTAATATACCGCTTTATTTCTTACATAATAGACAATTCTTAAAACAGCAAGCTTGTTCCAATGTAAAATATTAAGACTACGCTAAACATATATTCTAATTATTTCTAACACTTAAAAAATTAATTTTACTCATTTTAAAACAATAAGGCGTTACTTTTTTACGGTCATGTTGGCTTGGCTTTCGTTTACGAGAGAGAGTAACAGAGGGAAACTATTGAAGCTTGAAAATGTGGATTGATGCCGTGTCTAGTTTATTCGTTTTATATTCTTATTTTTTTTTAAACATTGTCCTGCTGTTAAGCATGGGTAAAAACGTTGCAACAGAACATTATCACTGTTCTCATATTCAACACTTGAAAATAACACTATCTTCAACTTAAGTTGGTGAATAACATGTTTCCAACCATTTGAGCATAATAATCAGTGATGCGACAAATGTTTCTCATAAACTCGGAATCCCATCTAAATTCCTAAAAAGTAATAAACCATTCTGTGGGTCTGCATCTACTACTGTCAAGAAGAAAGAACGTCAGTTGAATAAATCCTAAATTATAAAATTCATTTCTTACAAATTACTTCTTGTTACATCTATCATATTGAATTGAAACACATAACACAATAATTTACATGTAAATGCTATTTTCTTTTTACATTTTAATATAATTACCATTAAATGATACAAAATAAATCATAGAAATTACTATTGTAATTACGGATTTGTTTTTACCAATTGTAATTAACATTATATATATATTATTAAGATTTTTTTCCTTACCAAGCTGTATATGTATCATATAATTTAGGCCATTGAACTCTCTAAATAACTAACATGAAAATTATTATTTACTCTTTAAATGCTACTACGACTAATTAAACAATAAAAATTAATCAATTTTAAAAAAATGTTCTACTACAAATGTTGAAATGAAAATATAACCTAATTATATATTTTCCACAAAAATTTGATTGTTACCATTTCGACACTAGTTTCTTTGGCAGAAGTCTTGTCACTTTCAAATCCACAAGAAATACAATCTAAAATTTATTTAGAGGATATATAATTAGATTTTACGAAGGAACAAATTTCACTGGATAACTAATCAATAATTCATTCAGTATTCCTGATAAAATAACTTGGTTGATGATGATGATGAGATGGGTGGTTGTTATGGAGATGACATTTTTGGTTGAGCTTCTATGTTCTGAAGTTTGGTGATTCTTCAGACTTGAGCAAAGTGTAATAACTCAATATTTCTATATATTAATCTTTAATTCTGGATGAAGAATAAGTTGGGTTACCAAACAAAGAAGGGAAAGTGTGGCATCTCTTGGAGAATGGGTGCTGGTAGTACCCATCATTAATGCATAGTTTCAGATGTTCGTGATTGGGTGGTTTTCATGACCATGGTCTTGTTTTGCTGCAGATTATATATGTGTACGTAGCCAATGTCTTTTTCTTCATTATTCAGTCTTTTCCTCCCATTTCATGTGTTCATCAACTTTCCTATTATAATTTACTTCAGTGCTCATTTATATATTTTTCACAGGCAAAAAAAGTTAGGAATATTAATTTGAGAATAAAACTATGTCATCCTCATAACAGGTCAAATTACACTTAATAAGAAAAAAAATATATAAAATGTTTTATATAATATAATATGATAAGAAAATAGAAAGGCAAATATTTTTAAGTGTTTAAAAATGTATTATCACCCTACTTTTTAATAGGAAATAACTATTATTAATGCTATTAAACCTTTCTACTGCACACTTATCATATTTTAAAAATTTTAGTAATGAGTCGCTTTCTCCTCATAAATAAAAATTCATCTTTTATTTATTAAAAGTATAAGAAAATGGATGTGAAAGTGATATGACTTCTGTAAAGAAACTGATGTCGAAATAGTTATATAATCTAACTTTCGTGAAAAAAAAAAAAAAAACTTTCATAAAAAGAGTAAATTGATAAGATTAATGAAACAGTAAAATTTTCTTAAGAATTATTTCTTACACATAGTAAATAGTAAATAAAGTGGTTATCTTCAAAGTAAATTTTAATATTTATAAGTTTACTCGAGTATTTAATTCTTTACTCTACATAAAGAAATTAAAGTCATTAATATTTAAAATCAGTAAAATTCTACTTAAGATCAGGAATATCTAAAAAAAAGAAGATTATTGTTACTGTTGCTTTTCAAAATGTTTTAAGAAAAAAGTTGGTGTTAAAATTAATTTGAGTCTAGATGAAGGTTACCCAGAAATGATTGGCATGGTGATATTTGGATGGAGCAGTTACGAAGATGAAGAGAATGATGATAGCCAGCTAGATGGATTGAAATAGGAATGGAAAATATCTGTGACAGAGCATTAAAGTTGTATGTTTTGTATTCTTAATCCAATCCCGATTAACTGTTTCACCATATTTAGCATCATCTTCCTTCTCCATCAAATCATTCAGAAACTGTGTTCTTTGATGAGTGAGAGAGACTAATTAGGTCTGAATTGGCGAACTCGTAGGGTAGAGACGTGACCAACATATCAGTATCTGGGGCCATGTCCACGCGATAACATGTATATGCATGACAATGGATCTCTCTCTGAAGGAATATCTGCTACGACAAAAGAGTGTACAGTTTCTGTTTTTCACAAAAAATTATCTTGTTTTGACAGTGGATGCATAAATTACTTTGATGTTGCTGCTGATATATGCGTTATCTTCTTCAAGATCATTTCTCACCTCATATCCACTGATAGAGCAACCAGTTGACCTAACTTGTCATCTTGCATAGTTGAGATCAAAGAAAACTCAGTTGTAATAATTACATTCTTTAATAAAAATGATTTATGAAGATTTAATTGAAAATCATATTTAGAAATAAAAAAAATTGTAATAATTTATTAATTCATCATAAGCTCTTAAATATCCAATCAACACAAATAAAAAAAAGTTAATCAATAAAAACTCTTTAAGACAATTATTAACCAAAGTTTTTAAGAATAAAAATAATATTTTGTTATAAACTTATATATGATTTATTTAAAAAATAGCAAAAATTGTTTATATAAATATTTTTTTAATTTTAAGTCTGTCGAATATAGAATCCATTATTTTTATTTTTAAGCACTCGCAATTTTAGAAATAAAAACTTAAGCTTTATTCTTCACATTAGCATGGTAAACCTAAGACATTTTAGTTCTTTATCTATTTTAATTATGTTTTTGGCAACCAATTTGATTCACTTGATTATGATAAAGTGATATATTTTCATGTTTTGAAGGACTAATTATGTATTAAAAAATTGAAAGAAAAAGAAAGAATGACTACAATGGAATAGTGGGTGAGAATCCTGTAGGGTGTGATGTATAAAGGAGTAAAAATGGTCGTAGCCTTAATATTTCTTGGTATCATGTTCTTAGAATTTGCAGCCACAACATTCAAAAACATGTACCGCGTCAAGTTCTTTATTTTTGGTCCGCGTATCATTAATAAGACCAAGGACTTATATTTGTAAATTTAAAATTGTCATGAATTTTTGGTATAATATTTAAGACTACTTATATTTGTAAATTTAGAATTGTTTATAGTAAATAAGGTTAATTTTATTAACATGTCTTTAATTATCAATAATTTCATCTCATTGTTAATCACACATCAATATCCAATTACATTCATTTACTCTTAAAGTTAATCATATTTATACATAATTAGTGATGTTATTAGGAAGACGATGTATTTTACAATGACATTTTCTAACGATAACATATTTTAGAGTTAAAAAATTTGTAGCCATAGATTGAAAATTGTACCTATATCAGTGTCAGACTTTTGAATCTTTACCGCGTACAATTTTTTTTTTGGTCCGCATATGGCAGTACGATAATTTGCCCTCCTTCTATATTATAGTGTACCACTAATAAGACAAATAAATAATATATGAATTTTTAATTATTAAGATTTATTTATTTTATATATATATATAGATGGTTATAACTATGATATATATATTTATTAATTACTAGCACATCGTATCTTTAAATCATTTTGAGTTTTTAAAATTGCATTTGTTCTAACTAAAAAATATTTAAAATGAAAAACTCAATTTTTGTATGGACTAAAAGCACTAAATATATAAATTAGTAAACTAATTGTAGTGAGTTATGTAGGTAATTTTGAAAAGCAATATCTTAAAAGTGATGAATTAACAATAGAATAGAAGTAAATGAAAATTTAACAATTGATAAAACGTGAAGAGCGTGGATTCTGAGAATTAGGTTGGAACTAGGACGATGACTCACATATCACAGCTGGAAGCAGTTCTTGTGATTTGGCAAAACAGTTCCTGAAGAATGAATGTATGAATGATTTGTGTCATTTCTCTGGAAGCTTCCTAGGTATTGTTTGACACATTCTATGCATATATACATATATATATATATATATATATATATATATATATATATATATATATATATATATATATATATATATAGAGAGAGAGAGAGAGAGAGAGAGAGAGAGAGAGAGAGAGAGAGAGAAATAGAAACGAATATTTTCGATGAAGTTAAACTCCCAGTTCAGAAACAGAACTGCAGATATAACATGTGCACATGGAATTCGTACGTTAATCGATCATGTATTGCCACAACCATAAGAGGAAGAAGAAGCTGAGTCAAAATCGGCCAGATGAAGAGAATCAACTGCTACACGTGTCCAACATTAACAGATAACAGATATATATATCATGTAATTATTCTAAGAAATTATTTTGTGAGTAAAAGCATTAGCGCGAACATGTCTCATAATTCAGCTACGCGTGATCTTGAGTTGTGTAAGATACTAAGCTTGTGAATGAACCCTGCTGCACAAACTAGTTTCACCACAACACAATAAATTAGAAATTTTGACTGTTTTTTAAAGGAAACCTAAATTATACAAATTAGTTTGACCTACGCTGAATTTATTATATATTAGATCATTAACTCTAACTGCAGTGTAGTGTATTTTCTTATCCAATTGTAGCGAAGGTTTTGCACTTTAAAGATGATGATAATTGATAAGGAAATGCCGTTGTCGTTGCTAAAAGAAATAACATTATCTTCACAATTTCTCAAGACAAATGTTTAAAAGTAGAAAGATATTTATAACAGTTAAGAAACACGAGAAAAAGCTAAAAAGAGTAAGCAAATACATGGCGTATGGTTATTGAAGTAGAAAGAGTTACCATTAGCAAAGAGAGTAAGAGCAATAGAATTATGGAGAGAACGTGGTTAATAATTACGTAGTTGGAATCCGACACGACCAGCGAAAAGGGACGTTGCATGGTATGAAAAGTCCTATAACACTGCACCCACATGCGCTGTCTCCCCTTCACCAATTTAACACTCTAACACCATATCTCTATCTTCAATTCTACACTCTAAGCATTTTCTCAATCTTCATCTTCAGCTACCGTCCAAAAGATCTTATCTACGCTTTGACTACACCTATATATATAACCATCACAACTGCTTCAAACACTCCAACAAGCTCAAATAAGTGATCAATAATCACCAACACAACACACTTTATTCCTTGTTATTATCTTATTAACAACCAACAAACACTTTGTCAACATGGCCAAGCTCAGTGACAGAAACAGCAAGAAAAGTGTAAGTGACATTGTGAAGTTCAAATTAGTGGAGAAGTTTCAGAAGAGACTCTTACCGGGGAGAAACAAAGAAGGGTCTGTCTCAAACTCAACCTACGTGCCAGATGACGTGAAGGAAGGACACTTCGCTGTGATTGCCGAGAGTGGAGGGGAACAAAAAAGGTTCGTGCTGCCACTAAGTTGTTTATCCAACCCTGCGTTTTTGAAGCTGTTGGAGCAAGCAGAAGAAGAATACGGATTTGATCATGAAGGTGCAGTGACCATTCCTTGCATGCCTAGTGAGCTTGAGAGGATACTGACTCAGCAATGGCATCAAGAAGGAACTCAAACTACTGGTGTAAGAAAGAGTTGTAGAAAATCCATGGTATTTTAGTCAAACTATATTGTTGAAAAGTTAATAATGTATACTCTGCTGGAATCTTTAGTCGACTTTCTTTCCTGCAACTCTAGTCAAATTCATTTGACTGTCTAATTAATTCTTTCACCAAGAGCTAATAAAAAGTTCCAGCTTCGAGATTACTCGCATAATAATACTTTGTTTATCTTCATTTTTTTGGGGGGATTAATTATAACTTGTGTTTCAAGCAGAAGCACCTATCTTAATTAGTACTGGTTTATTTCACTCTCGACCTTTAATCGTGAGGATTAAACTTAAATATAGAAACATTATTTTTTTTCAATTTATTAGAACGTGTAGTTTTATATATATTAAAAGTGTAACTTCAAACAAAACATAAACTGTGTTTGTCTGTAAAACGTACAATTCCCTTGAACATAAATGGACGTTGGTACAGAACGATACAGTGTGTATTTGTTTCTCCACTGACAGTTTTATAGGCACCCAAACGTGACAAAGTCAAATTCAAAAATTGGCGTTCAAAGGGTTTTCAAAAGAGGAAAAACGAACACACTGTCGCTAGTCTTAATTACTTTACTTCCATATTTCCTCCTTCAAACGTGTGAATATACAACCAAGTGTTGGGTGTATTCATTAATTTGTTGACAGCCAAAAAAACAAACCAAGATTAGTATGATAACATATTTTAACACAATACTCAATTAAATTCACAAACCAAATCATTTTTTCATCTCATATACATACACCATATATTCATGTTATACTCCATCAACTTTTAGTTTGGGATGCACACTGAGTAAAATAAATAATAAAAGATTAGAAAAACTATAATTAAAATTGTAAACAAGATATGACATGAAATTTAATGTAGATTATAAACAAAACATGTTATGAGAATTTGAAACTGCTTGGTTTTTTGATGAAATATATCTTCAACTTGTCTCTGCTCCCACCAGCTAAGATGCACTTTTTGGCCCTCTATATCCCACCCAGTTAAAAGTGTTGTGATAAATAGGGACATCTTATAATGAAATTATGGCTGCGACCAATGATTCTGCCGCTTGTCCACTGACTTTAATGCTATGCAATTCTTTTGGCATTTATATTCATGTATAAAGTTGCGATTTGGGATGATACCAGCTGTCAATGTACAATGAATAATATGAATAATATGCAAAATATATCCACACACACTGATACTCAACTTTGTGCATCAGAATAACACACTCACACTAGTACTCAAGTTCTGGCAGGACATGAAAAATAATTATCATGAATGAAGTCACCATGCCTATTTCGTCTATCGTACATACCTAAGATCATTTCCACAAAATTTAATTGTACGTATACACTATACTGTAAATTTTTACTTATATAGTTTAAAAAAATATTTTTTTTAACTTATATATAAATGAATTTTAACTAATCAAAAGTTCATATAATTCTCTTTTTCTTATTTTCTTTTGTAAAATTCTTATGAAAAAGTTTCTCCAAATATATGTTTAATTATGGAGACATGAATAGTAAAGAAAGATAAAGTAATTGTATAAGCGAGAAGTTGATAGCATAGTTGAAATATGAGAAGTCTCGTATCAGATAAAAATGTATAGGTTAGATAACATAAGTAAGAGAATCCAAAAATATAATGATTATAATAGCAAATTGATTTGAGTAGTTAAACCAAAACTCAACTATAGAGAGTGTTTTCTGATGTTTCTGGTCTTTGGATTTTCAATATAAGTAACGAATATCGACAGTGAAGTTGGGTTTGAAGATGATGAAGAAGAAAGGTTATGTTATGAGAGAGAACATGAAGAGGTTAAGTTTTCATAATCATGACATACCTATCCAAGTTGAAAATATGTTTGCGGGAACACGAGTGTAATAATATTTGACACAGATTATGGTAAGTCACATCTTAAGTTGTGAACTGTTTTGACTTGTCATCCTTAGGGTATGGGATGGTATACTATATAATAGGGTGGGGGATGTTTGTAATCTTGTGGTGTATGGGACGTTTAGTCTAATGGGGAAACTTCAGTATTTTGAGTACATCTTGTACTCAAGTATATATATAATATTATTTTTCATACAAACAGAAAAGTATTCAGTGTGATGTACAAAGGTCATAACTTTTCTAGTCTACATTCCAGCCAGTTGACATGTACAAACAGTCCTTGTTAGTAACACAAATCTATAGCACGTCTTTTGTAATGTTCGTCAAAATTTATAATAGATTATAAAATTGAAAGAGAGTTATCAAATGAAAGATAAATTTTCGGGGCTTTGGTGATTTTGTTTCCGAACCATAATTTTAGAATTCAATATGAGAAACCAAATATAAGGGCTTAGGTATTTTTCTTTAATGTTTTAAAATCAAATTTACAGAGGGAAATGTAGAAAAGATATTAGTCGACATAAATAACTTTAAGTGTGGGATTTAAAAACCATAAACTTTTTTATACCAGTGAATGATACCTCTAGCTGGTGAGTTTATACAATGCCCATTGCCCAATTATATGGAAGTAGATTAAGGAAGAATTTAGAAGGGAGGGCTTAAAAACAAAATTTATTTAAGCTTTAAGTACTGACTTCATAAAATATTTAAAAAATTATAAAAATGTTTATAAAACATAATTTGATAAATCTTAAAACGAAGCTTATGATTATACATATGCTTTTTTTTATACAACGATTTCTAATTAAATAAATAATAAATCCGTTTATCCAAACATATCAAATTACATAATCACAAGACCTATAAAACAAGTCTATGCTAACTACGGAATTGGGATTTTAGGCCAAAGAGAGGTAGGGGAAACTAGTGTCATAAATACAAGACACTCTGGATACAACGTATACCATTCATATCATAAGCCACGTGACAATTGATTCAGATAGAAATATGTATTACATCTACCGTCCCCTGTTATTAACACGATTTGTAAACAGATTCTACCCATTTGAATCAACTATCTCAAGCCTCAGGTTGTAATAAGCACGTAATTAGAAGTGATGTCGTGGAGAAAAGTGATATGAACAATTTTGTTCAGTCAGATAAACCGGCCTTTGACCTTAAGTGCTCTTTGAAATCCATGATGTCACCTTCCCATCTGGTAACAGCTTGATCAGCGCACACCCATATCTCGTGGGCCACTTGATTGATGAGTCTAAAATCATGGCTAACAAGCACCATGCCACCGTCCCATTCATTCAAAGCCTCAGCCAGTGAGTCAATTGTTTCAATGTCTAAATGGTTAGTTGGCTCATCCAGAAGTAGCAAGTGAGGCTGTCTATAAGCTAACCATGCAAATATCACGCGGCTCCTCTGCCCGTCAGATAAATTCTTCATCGGCATCACCTGCGCTTTACCCGACAGTCCAAATTTCCCAATAGCTGCTCTCATCCTCTCCTCCTCATTTCCAGGGTATTCTTTTATCATAAACTGGAGAGCAGACAATTCCAAGTCTAGCTTTTCAGCCAAGTGCTGGTGAAATTGTGCAATTCGAAGGTGATTGTGGCGTCGAACCATGCCGTCTATAGGGACCAGGTCGCCAGTCATTAGCTTCAGTAACGTACTCTTCCCGGCTCCATTTGGTCCAACCAGCGCAATCCTAGAGTCTAAATCAACCCCGAAATCAAGGTTCTTGTAGATCAGATTATCAGGAGTGTAACCAAATGTCACCTCGACAAACTGGAGAACAGGCGGGGGAAGTTTTCCCACATCAACAAAGCGGAATACCAAAACTTTGTCTCTTACCACCTTCTCTGTGAGTCCACCCCGCTCCATTTTTGCAAGAGTTTTCTCTTTACTCTGGGCTTGGCGTGCTAGTTTTGCTGATCCATGACCAAACCGGGCTATATAGTCCTTCATCGAGGCAATTTGCTCTTGCTCCCATTTGTACTGCTTCATCTGGTTCTCTTCAAGCTCACCACGTGTCTGAACATATTGATCATAATTGCCAGTATAAAGCTTCAGCTTCTTATTTTGCATGTGGATGATATTTGTGCAGACACCATTAAGGAAATCCTGGGAATGTGAAATCACAACCAGAATGCGGTCAAACATTTTCAAATTCTCTTCCAGCCACACACAAGCCTCCAAATCTGCAAATATATTTTGAAAATTCTACAAATCAGCAATTATTCAAGGATCAGAGGTGAAACATACCGATGGATGTAACTTCCAAACAAGAGCAATATGTTAGGCACACAGAAAATAAATAAATTAGTTTAATCTGAAAGTATAACAAGTAACTATAATGATGGATTTAGTTAAGATTGTATTGTATCAGTTGTATTAGCAGAAATACAACCACCATAAAATGAAATGATAATGCACGGTAGAAAGGTAGAAAATTTCTCCAATAAGATATATAAGGATTTTAGAAAGATCAACGAAATATGATTGATATTTGAAAGAGTGAAGCAAATGGGTCTGACATTCACAAAATCAACCACGTTTGACACAAAGCATTTAGTGATATATTATCCTACCGTGAAGCAATCCTTTTCCTAAACTCTTAAAGCAGGCACCAAGGAAAAATTTCTCTAAAAACTAAACTCGCAGGCCTATCTCCTTGGCAAACCAGAGGATTCACCAAATTCATAGCTATTATTTGATAGACATTATTTACACAATAGATAAAAAATCTGCAGTGCCTTTCTACTTAAAATCATAGATAATAAGACAGAGAAAATCATCAAACCAGTCACGTGAATTTCAATACAAAAAACATGGCAAGTGTTATAGACATTCAGCCACAAAAACAATTTTTTTTTTCTAAGGAGGGATACCTAGGTGATTGGTTGGTTCATCAAGTAAAAGAATTGTTGGCTTCATAAATAGAGCACGTGCTAAAGCTATCCTCATTCTCCAGCCACCAGAAAAATCACGGGTCTTCTTTGCCTGCATCTGCTTGTTGAAACCAAGACCAAATAAAATTTCAGCAGCACGCTTTTCTGCAGTTGATGCATCGATGGCATCCAATCGTTCATAAATACGTTCAAGAGTTTCACCACCCCCATCATCCTAGAACCAAAACCAATTAAGTGAGTCGGTCTTCCGAAAACACAAAACATGGAGTAAAACAGATCCTATACTACTAAACACACCTGAGCAGCCAAAGCTTCAGCTTCTTTCTCCAATTTCAACCTTTCCTCATCACAGCTTATGACAGCCTCCAATGCAGACATGTCAGAGGCTTCAATTTCTCTGGTAAGGTGATAAATATCCATGTGATCTGGGATAGGTAGCTCTCGACAACCTATCGCTGTAAGAAGGGTAGATTTTCCACAACCATTTAATCCAAGCAACCCATATCGTCTGAGAGGAATTTAAGGTAAAAATAATCACCAAAAAAAAATTAGCTATAAATTGCAGCATACAAACCAGAAGCAGAACAAAGTTGTAAGGATGACAAACCTTCCATAGTTTAGCTCCAATTCAGAATCAATTATCAAATCATGTCCATGAAAAGTAACTGACAGAGATTCTATCTGTAATTACAGCATAAATACGTCAATAAGGCAGAAATATCTTTTCTAGTGCATAAGATGACAGTATTAACCTACCTACAAGAATTCTTAATGGAGTGTTTGGTTACATTCAAGAAGGAGAACCCAACAGCTTGGCTAGGCACTCATACTCCCACTCATGCAAGCAAAGATAAGTCAAAAGACCCAATAAACTGGGAATGTCTACCACATTTTAGAGAACTTAATTATTCCAGGTATAGAAAACATTTACTAATAATTTATGAAAGTTTTGCATAGATTATTCTCTACTACTTTCCTAACTCCAGAGGGCAATGAAGTATATGCATACAAAATAGTAAAGCAGAATACTATATAATCAAATTATATGATATAAGCGGATGTATCACCTTACAAGCCGATTTGTAGGGTTAAATTTATTCTCATTATAAGGGAATGTGTTATACTATATAAGTAGGCGCAAAACCTCATCTTAATTTGTAATGTTAAATTGGAGCAAACCCACTTTCTAAGAATTTTCAATTAAATTATTACGACAACTTAAAAAAAAAAAAAGGGAAACATTCAGCAAAATACAATTAATTACATGGATCCAAGAGAAAGATATGAATGTTAAATCTAAATTTTGCTGATGGACATAATCTATGTCATCCATAACAGAATAATTTCTTACAAATATTATCACCATATTACATGGAGCCAAATGCATGGGCATCAAGGTAACTGCGGAAGTACTTTAGGTGCAAGGAAATGTATTTGTAACCTCTAATAAAAACAGGAGCTAAGCCTGTGTTGTTTCGAGTGATTTACTGTTTAGAAGGATAGTAAAACGAGTATTGTATCCGTTTGTTTCAACTGATTTGAAAAGATATGTGAACGATGATTTACTGTTTAGAAGGATAGAAAAACGAGTATTGTATCCGATTGTTTCAACTGATTTGAGAAGATATGCGAACGATGATTTGAGGGAGAGTGGGATGAAAGCTTACCCACTTAAACAAAGAGATATGTTGAGAAACACATATCATCTGTTGAATATAGGGAAAAACTGTATAGGGTTAACTTCCCTTGTGTATTTACCACACATAGGGCAGTGTATTTATAATAAAGAAAGGTACTCCTCAAAAGAGTAACAGAATACAAATAGGGTAAATAAAAGATATTATTTGATATTGTGATTAACAATATCTAACAATATCTCAACAATATCAAATAATATTAACTAATATCTAATCATATCTAACACTCCCCCTCAAGCTCGGAGCATACAAATCGTATGTGCCTAGCTTGGTACAAAGATAATCCATCCTAGGTCCCCGTAAAGACTTAGTGAAAATATCTGCTAATTGATCACATGAGTTAACGAACTCGGCCTTGATGTCTCCGGACATAATCTTTTCTTGAATAAAATGGCAATCAATCTCAATGTGTTTAGTCCTCTCATGAAAGACAGGATTAGAGCTTATATGGAGAGCGACTGATTGTCACACACTAGTGTCATTTGAGTGACATCTCCAAATTGTAGCTCTTTAAGCAATTGCTTGAGCCAAATAAGTTCACGAGTAGCCGAGGCCATAGCTCTATACTCGCTTCTGCACTCGGATCTTGCCACAACACTTTGTTTCTTACTTTTCCATGAGATCAAGTTACCACCAATGGAAACACAATACCCAGATGTAGATCTTCTATCGAGGGAGATCCTGCCCAATCAAGCATCCGAATAGCGAGACAACTCTTGTATGATTATGGGAGTCATACACCAAACCTTTTCCAGGAGACTTTTTGATGTACTTCAATATACGGATGACTCGCATTCCAATGATCTTGACAAGGAGAATTGAGGAATTGACTCACCACACCGATCGCAAAGGAAATGTCGTGGCGAGTAATCGTAAGATAATTTAATTTTCCAACTAATCTTCTATACCTGTTCAGGATCCGACATTGGCTCCCCCGATTTGGCAAGAGTTTGGTATTAGGATCCATGGGTGTGTCAACAGGCTTTGAATTCATCAACCCAGCTTCCTCCAAAATATCCAATGCATACTTTCTTTGAGATATAACAATGCCATCTGTAGATTGTGCTACCTCAATACCCAAGAAATATCCGAGTTTGCCAAGATCTTTGGTTTGAAAATGGTGGCAAAGGTGTTGTTTCATCCGAGAGATGCCATGATGGTCACTACCCGTAAGAACAATGTCATCGACATACACTATCAAATGATACATCCAACATTCGAGTGACTGGTAAAAGACTCGAGTGGTCTCGCCTCACTTCTAGTCATGCCAAATTGTTGAACAACGCCGCTAAATTTGCCAAACCAGGCCCTAGGAGACTGTTTTAGGCCATATAAAGATTTGCGAAGACGACATACCAATCCAGAAGACTCCCCGAGCAACAAATCCGGAGGTTGCTCCATATAAATCTCTTCTTGCAAATCGTCATTCAAGAAAGCATTTTTGACATCCAGATTGATAAAGAGGCCATTGTTGAATAGCGGCCATGGCAATGAATAAACGAACGAAGCCATCTTTGCCACTGGAGAGAAAGTATCACCATAATCCAACCCAAAAATTTGGGTATAGCCTTTGGCTACAAGGCGAGCTTTGAGGCGATCAATAGTACCATCAGGATCAACCTTGATAGCGAAGACCCACCTGCAACCAACAACAGATTTTCCGGATGGTAATGGGACAAGCGTCCAGTGTTCCACTAGTCCGAAGAGCACCGAGTTCATCTAGCATGACCTGACGCCAACCAGGGTGGGCTAAGGCTTCGGAGACGCATTTAGGAATAGACACGTAAGAAATAGACGAGAGACATGTATAAAATGGTGAAGAAATTCGATGATAACTAATAACAAGTATAATGTGGAAAAGGATTACGAGTAGAACGCGTACCTTTACGAAGGGCAATAGGAAGGTCGACTCGTGGACTGAACCGGAGGAGGCGAGTATTTGGCACTGGGAGTGAGTCATGTGGCGTCTGTTGTGGGCGAGGTCTCGCGACTATAAACCCGAAGGGGTGGTGGAGGAGGAGGGGCTAATGGTGGATGATCCTCAACATAAGGATCAATGAGAACAGGAATGGGAACTGTAGCAGATGGAGACTCAGCAGGTAGGGAAGGGTCCTTAAAGTAAAAGGAAAACTCATTGAAGGTGACATCGGCAGACACAAAATAGCGATTAAGAGAAGGAGAAAAACACTTGTATCCTTTTTGGGATCGAGTAAATCCTAAGAAAACACATTTGTGTGATCGAGGAGATAACTTATCATGACCAGGATCAAAATTGTGGACAAAACAGGTAGACCCAAAAACCTTCAGAGGTAAAGGATGGAGAGTGTCATGAGGAAAATAAGGATTTGTTACCAGTGATGTGATTGGTGGCGCCTGAGTCAAGAACCCAAGAGCCAATAGAAGAAGAGTGAGTCAGACCAGCAAAAGATGTACCTGTGTGGGCAACAGAAGTAGTGGAACTGGAGGGCTTTCGATCCTCATACCATTGAAGAAAATCATTGAAGATAGCAGATTTGTCTGAAGGTACAGACGAAGGAGGATCCACAGCAGAGGATTGTGCGGAAGAATCAGTCTGAGCAACTGCAGCAGATCGGCGAGGATAACCATGTAAAGCATAACATTTGTCAATTTTGTGGCCTAGTTTGCCACAATGGTCACACTTGACACGCCCTTTGCCTGGCTTGTGAGAGCGATTACGATCATCACGGTGAGAGGCCAAGGCAGATGAATCATTAAAAACAGATTGCTCAGACCCACCGGAGCTGACAGAGGTAACTTTAGAATTGGAAGTGGCAACGGAAGATGCCATGGAGGAAGAGAGAGAAAAACCCTAAAACACCAAAGAGGTCCGATTGGAGCAGCGAGGACAGATCCAGAGAGAGGAGAAGGAGGCGACGCCGGCGCAAAGAGCGGCGGCCTGAACGGCGGCGAGACGCGCCGCCACGCGCGGCAGAACGGGAGAAGGTGGCGCGGCTCGGGAGGCGCGTGAGGGAGCGTGGCCGCTCCGATGACCGCGAAACTTCCACGGTGGAGGTCGCACGGAGGAGGCGAGCAAAACCCTGTGCTCGGCGGTCCGAATCGCTACTCGCGGCGACGGCGGCGGCGGCGGCGATGGAGGCGGCGACAACTGCAGGTTCGATGGCGAGCCGAAAAAATCCCAAGAGATCTTAAGCTCTTGATACCATGTTGAATATAGGGAAAAACTGTATAGGGTTAACTTCCCTTGTGTATTTACCACACATAGGGCAGTTGTATTTATAATAAAGAAAGGTACTCCTCAAAAGAGTAACGAATACAAATAGGGTAAATAAAAGATATTATTTGATATTGTGATTAACAATATCTAATAATATCTCAACAATATCAAATAATATCAACTAATATCTAATCATATCTAACATCATCAAATGAAAGCTTATCCCTCTCCACGTGAAGACACAATGCATGAAATTCACACACAGTGCCTCCTCTGAAAAGCTAAACATGCATGCAGATGAACCTGAAAAAGCTTGGCATGCATACAAAGATTCATCCTTACACAGTAGGGAATCCATGCAGAGGAGCACATGCATGAGGCAAGCAGTGTTGACGGGGAGCATTAACCATGGTAGGTGGAGGTTCGTTACCATTAAATACATATAAGAGGAGACCAACTATACATTGCTAAGTCGTTTGCATTGGGGTGGTTCTATTAGCATAAGGGTGAATGTTGCAGGTTTTGGTTTGGTTTTGGTATGTGTAGTGGGTGAGAGGCCGAGTGCATGGTTTTGGTTATTGCAGAGAAACGATTCTCTACCAGTTGAGAATCGATTCTCTGGCTGTGAAGAATGAATCTTGTTCATAATAACCGATTCTCAACGAAGGAGAACCGATTCTCGTCCCCCGGCTAAAATCAATTCTAGAGACAAGAATTGATTCTCGATCAAGTGCTCTTGTAACGAGAATCGATTCTCATGTATGTGTTATGTTCAACCTTGACGTGTA